CCAAACGCCAAGGCAGGGGGGAGAACTCAGGCCAGAACAGTTGCATCACGTGACCGTGATGGGGCGTGTACAGACTCAGGTGTCCACAGTCCGCAGACATCCGCACACATCCGTCCACGCTCAGACATAGATGAGTGTACCAACACCAGATACACAGGGCAGAGCCGCAGGCACCTGTGTGCACACCAGTTCACACATAGAGATGTGCAAACCCACCCCGGCGCACGGCCCCCGGTTCCCCTGCAGGTGTGTGCACATCACCCACATGGACACAAATCTTTGTGCACCTATGCACAGAGCCCAGCGCGAACACTCACAGTCGGTGAATTTCCCTCCGCACTCGTGCGGCACGCACATACTTAGACCCAGATCACACGGAGTCACGTGAACGTACCCAGGAACACACGCAAGTGTACACAGACCCGCTGACACAGTCGGGCGCGCACACGCGTGTGCACACCACGGGCACGCGCACGCAAGAGCCTCCCGCGCGCACAGCTCCCGCAAGGCACTCGCCTCCCCTCCCCCTCCGCCGCAGCGCCTGGGGGTTGGGGGGTACTGTGAGGATCGGACAAGTTGGGGGACCCTCGGACCTACCCCTTCCCAGGCCCCCCACCGCCGCTCCTATCCCCCCATTCAACCCTGGTCAACCCCCTTCCCCTCCGCCAGCCCATCAGTCAAATGAAGGTTATGCAGGTGCTCAGAGCGGGAGCACAGAGGGACGCCCGGGAGCTCACCTTGCCCTGCACCAATGTGGCAGCGATCCGAGTGGCGGTGACTTTTGGGCGGTGGCGGTGACGGGAACCCCCAGTGAGCTGATGTGGGGTTGCGCGGCGGCGGTGGCGGCGGCGGCGGCAGCGGCAGCGGCTCAGGCCCCTGCAGTCCTTGGTGACGTCCTGCAAAGAGTGGGGCGGGGCCGCACATGCAGATACGGTCGTGACGCCATCGGGGCGGAGCCGCGCATGGAGATATGCCCACCGAATCTTGCAGAACCAGAAGGGGCGGGGCCCCGCGCAGATTGACGCTTGAATGGGGCGGGGCCAGATGTGGGGCGGGCGCGGTTCCAGCTCCTGCTCCGCCTCTGGTACTGTCCAGGAAGGCGGGGCTGATTAGAGTCCTATCATTGGCTTAAATACTTGAGCGACGGACAATACAGCCAATCAGTGTCTGTTGACTCCCTTCTCCTGACCAATGGAGGCTCTTAGGTTTTTGAAGGGCCGAGAAGCTGAGGCCTTGACTGAGCCCTGGTCTTGGGGGGCGGTTCTCTTCTCCTCCCACGCCCACCCAGCTCCGGGTCGCCTACAGCCCCTGCCTCGTCCCAAGCGCTGTGATTTCGTGTTCACTGTCCCCTACTATCATTTTGAGAAAAGGGGAACTGGGATCCGAGAGATGCTCCATGGCCCCTCAATTTTTAGGGTTCAAATTAAATAAAAAAGGACAAGAGGAGGAGGGTTTAAGAGAGACCCCAGTCCAATTCCCAAAGTGTAGGACCTCTACTGAGGACCGGGCTGACAGGGGCTCCACCCCGCCCCTGTTTAAGAGATTAAAAGAAGAAGAAATAGGGTCAAAAGAGCCACCCCTCCCCACCATCTCCCAGAAAAGGAAGGACCGAGGGACGCTCCGAGACTCTTCCCTTCCCTGGGCCCCATTATCCAGAGAAAAATTCGAAGAAAAGACAAAATAGGGTCAGAGACGTGTCCTGTCCCCTAAACCTCCAAAGCCTGCGGTTAAAAAAAAAAACCGAAAGCGGGGAAGGTACGAGAGGGTCCCCCCAGCCCTTCACTGACCCAGGCGACCCTGTCTCCCAGGGGAGATGGCGAATCGGGAGGCCGACGTGCTCCCTCGCGTGTCCCTTCTTAAGGGGGGAAAGTCAGGATCTCGGGGAGGGGAGCCCCAGCCCCCACTGTGGGTCTCCGGTCCCCACTCACTCTGGTCTTCAAACAGCAGGGGACATGTGGCCCCCAAGAGAGTCCAGATCCCTGGATCCCCCCCCGGAGGAGGAGCTGGGGGCGGGGAGGACTCGTCCCGTTTATAAAAGGCTCCCAGCTGCCGAGGCGCCGCGACCAGAATAACTTCGCGCCGGCGGCTGGGGGGGCTCCGCCTCCGAGCCCCGCCCGCCCAGCGCCGGGGAAGGACTGGGACGACCCTCCCCCTCCGTCTGCATTCGGGAAATTTATTTTTCTCCAAGGGTGACGTGTTTGTCCCCCTCTCCCACTGGGTCTACGAAACTATCACAAACCCACTGCGGAGAACTGGGAAAATACAGAAAAACAACCACGAAAAGAAAGAACAATGAACCCAGCTCTGCTCCGCGGCTCCCTGCCCACGCGGAGACCCTCAGTCAAGTCCGCCCTCTGGGTGGGGACGCGGCGTGGCGGCCCCGGGCTGGAAGTGAGGACAGCGACGCTGCTCAGCTCCCAGACTTCCCGGACACACGCCGCTGCGCGCTGCCTACACGGTGGCTCCCAGAAATACCCGTCCGCAGGAGAATGCGCACTAGCTCCCGCACTGACTTTGTATTTTAAATAACAGCCAGGCATGGCGGCGGGGCCAGGAACCCCAGCGAGGCAGGAGGCCGAGGCAGGAGGATCATGTTCGAGGCCAGCCTCAATAACTTAGCGAGTTCCTTAGTGAGACCCTGTCTCAAAAGAAAAAGAAAACGCACTGGGAATGTGACTCAGCGGCCAAATGCCTCCGGGTTTAATCCCCAGAACTAACAGCAAGATCTTTAGATTGAGGAGCATTCCGGGATTGGGGAAGCAGCTCAGTGGCCAAGCACCAGCCCTAGGCTGTGTGAGCCCCCGGGGTCCAGCCCCAGCAAACATGAAAGGGAAGGAGGAGAAGGAAGACTCCACCCTTCCTGAGCTCTGAGCGGCAGAGGTTGGGGTCCCCAGCAGTTAGACTGTGACACTATGTCATACTGTTCAGGGAGGTTAGGTGAAGAAGGGCCCCCTCTGGGAGACCTCAAAGGACACCCCCTTTGTCCCTGAGGAGCCCTCTCCAGCTCTGGGAGGGAAGGGGGACAGCTGAAGCCCTGAGAGTCGCCCCAGGAGTTCCCAGGGCTGAACATTCCAGGGGCCCCACCAGCCCTTCTCTGACCCTCCTCTTTGGGTCTAGGGTGGGCCATAAAGGCCAGAGTCCCAAGCAGGAGCGAGACCTGGCGTGTGAGGGTTTCATCTGCCTCCTCTGTGGGCCTCGGTTTCTACTTCTGTGATATGGGAGACTGAGGCCAGTTGGTTTGTCTTCTGGGGATCACTGTGTACTGGCTCAGGACACATTCTCTTCAAAAGTTGTCTGTTAGAATTACGTGATCCTGGCAAAGAGATCGTTTTACCGGTGAAAGACTAAGACTGAAGAAGTTTAAAGGACTTATTGAGGCTGGGCACAGTGGCATATCCCTGTAGTTGCTGCAACTAGGGAGGCTGAGGCAGGAGGACTGCAAGTTTGAGGCCAGCCAATGCAACTTAGTGGGACACTGTCTCAAAATAAAAACTAAAAGGGCTGGGGTGGAGCTCAGTGGTGGAGGCCCTGGGCTCAATCTCCAGTGCCATAAATAAATAGATAAAGCCCTCCCGAGGTTGCAGAGCCCAGCAGCAAGGTGGGCCAGGCAGACCTGGCCAAGGCCTCTGGGAACACGGACTGGAGCTTAGCAGGCTCGGGTCAAAGGATCGCAGCCTGGGGAGCTTCTGCTGGGGCCAGCCTGGGGTAGAGGACCTGGGAGGGCTTCTAGGAGGGGACCATGCACAGCTGAGACCCAAAGGGTGAGGGTGGGGACTAGGAGGGACGGGACGCTGCTGGTGGTAACTACTGTATATGCAGAAGCCCTGAGGGGGACAGAGCCGGGTGCCTTCGAGGAGTTGAGTGGAATCAGTAAGAGGGAGACAGAGGGATGCCCTGGGCCCCAAATTGGAAGAGAACATATGATTTTTAAAATTTATTTGTATTTATTTATTTAGGTACCAGAGATGGAATCCAGGGGTGTTTAACCACTGAGCCAAATCCCCAGCCCTATTTTGTATTTCATTTAGAGACAGGGTCCCATGGAGTTGCTCAGCACCTCCCTGAATTGCTGAGGCTGGCTTTGAACTCGAGATCCTCCTGCCTCAGCCTCCTGAGCCACTGCACCGGCTTCAATTTATTTATTTATTATTTTTTTGTGGTACTGGAGATGGAACTCAGGGCCTGGAGCACCCCAGGCAAGTGCTCTGCCCCTGAGCCCCACCCCCAGCCCCAGGTGAGCGATGTCATAAGCAGGAGGAGAAAAGACCCGAGGGAAACAAGTAGAAATACCAAAGGAAGACAATTGACAGCTTTGGGATTATGGTCATACTTTATTTTCTTCTTTATGTTTCATTATTCCCAAATCCGCGGCAGCAGAGACATACTACTTTGTAAGGAGTGTGGAGAGAGAACATTTTGAAATCAAAGTCCCCTAAGTCTCTGCTTTTGGAAAGTCTGGAAGGAAGCGGGTGGAGCTCAGCGGTGGGGCGCTTGCTGGGGAGCCCTGGGGTCCATCCCCGGCACTACCAGAGAGGACAGAGGAAAATCTGCAGGGACTCCTACCAAGTTCACGACCCCAGATGCCTTTGAGTTCCTCCCGGGTGGAAGCCGAGCGCTCCGGGTGCTGGCCAGTGGCCAGTGGTCATAATATTTACGAAAGAAGCCGCTGTTCTCCCGCGGGGGCTGCGGCGATGACGCGCATCGTGTATGAATTTGCAGGGTGGGGGCGGGGAGGATACTGGAGGCTTCTGGAAGGGTTGCAAGACAGGCCCCACCTGAGCCCTGAGCACAAAGCCGGTAGGACGCCCGCTTGCCCAGGACCAGCTGGTCCCCGCCAAGCTCGGAGGACCGCCTGCCCCGCCCGGTGCACCTCCCGCTCCGACCGCCAGGGGGCGCCGCTGGCTATTCGCTTCAGGGCTGTGTGGCCTTGAGCAGGCGACAGGGCTGCTCCGTGTCTCGTTCCCCATTCATGAAATGGGCCATGCGCTTTTTTATGGCACTAGGGATGGAACCCAGGGGTGCTCTACCACTGAGCTGCACCCCCAGACCTTTCTATTTTTCTACCTCGTCCCAGGATCTCTCTAATGACCCAGTCTGGCCTCACAACTCTTGTGCCTCAGCCTTCTGAGTCCCTGGGACTACAGGCGCGGGCCACCACACCTGGATAGGACACTTAGTTTTGTAAATTAGGGTGTCTTAAAGTCTGGAGGGTTTACTGAGCCCCAGAGAGATGCTCACTGCTGCCCGTGTCGGAGATCTTTTAGGGATGTCACGGACACCACATCCTCAGCCGACCTTGAGCAGGGGCCCAGAAGGAGCTAAGGACTGCAAGAAAGCAGCTCAGGGCTCCCTCCCTCTGGGGACAGAGGATCAGGAGACACAGAGGCCAGCTGTACGGGGTGGAATGCAGTTCTGTTGTCAAGAAGGAGACCATGGGTTGGGGGGAGACCCAGCGTAGGGAAATAGAGGGAGCAGGAGACCCTTACACCCGGAGGCAGGGAGTCAGAGAAGGCAGAGGCCGAGGGGCGGGGAGGAGCTGGGTGGTGGAGCGCCTGCCTGGCACGTGCAAGGCCCTGCAGTCCATCCCCAGCAACAGGAAAAGAAAAAACCAAAACAAAACAGCAACCATTTCAACAAGTGCTGTGCAGCTTAAATCAGCCTTCAGACACGGTCCCCAACAAGAGCCTCCCTTTTCCTAAGCCTCCACCACAGCTCCAGGGCCAGAATCGGGTCTCCATGAAGCTTTGGCCCTGAGAATCGCGCCCCGCCCCCACCAACACTTCAAGTACACATTCTCCTGCCGTGAGCCGCCTGGCAGAGGAGGGTGGGGAGGCCCCTGTGGCCCCTGTGGGGTGCTGACTCCCTCCCTACCTTGTGCAGGGCTACCCCAGAAGCACAGAGCAGGCACAGGCCTGACACATAGTAGCTGCTCAATAAATACATGGAAAGAAAGAAAGAATTCAGTGATAGATGTGGTTCAAGAATGACGACTGCAGAAGGTGGACAAGGGCCTGGCAGACCCCCTTTTCCATACTAGGGATAGAGGTCCAGAGGGAGAGCCCAAGGGTGCTGTAAGAAGCTGCCCCCGTCCAGCCCCGTAGAGCCATTTCAGCTGAACCTGAGGTCAGAGTGGACCCCAGCCTCCATTGGACCCTGAGACCTACCTATCACTAAAAAGTTGGTTGTCTGACTCAGCAGGTGGGAACGTGAAGCAAGGGCCCCCTGCAGCCTCCTTCTGGAAAGTTCACCCACGAGGGCTGTCGGGTGCCAAAGGGCTTGGTCATTGCTTGGCCCCGGGTTCCACGCAGGGCCTGCCTGGAATCTCCTGGTTGTCCAGGGGCAGGGCCCCCAGGGCCTTGGGTACTGGAGCTAAGTGTCAGGTGACCCCAAGGGCTCCCTCTCCAGGGCTTCCTCCTCCTCCTCCTCCTCCTCCTCCTCTGCTTCCTCCAGGGCCAGCTGGAACTGGAACCTGTCGGGGGGCCCCCCGCTCCGAGCTGACCGCGGTGTCCACGGGGCTGCGGGGGATCTTGCTCTGGTACCACTCCCGGTTGTCCTCCAGCGTGTCCAGCAGGTCCTGTGCGTCGGGGTGGACCAGGTCAGCCCAGGTCTCCCACAGCGGGTGGGCGATGTAGTCGATGAAGCCCACCTGGGGTGACATAGGCAGGTGGCAGGTCAGGCCTTGGGCCATGTCTGTCCCTCTTCCTGGACGTCCATTCCCCAACTCCTGGTAAGCCCCCAAAGTCTCTTCAGACGCCCCCCGAGGGCAGGACCGAGCTGTGCCTGGTCGGGGGACCCCAGGCTAGCCCAGCTCCGGCTTTCCCTCCCCCACCCCCGCGGGCCAGGCTCAGCCACCCCCAGACCTGGGACTTCTCCACCGAGGCCGTGTGCTTGTCGCACATGGGGCTGATGTCCAGGCCCGACTCGCGCTCCCGGTCACCCTGCTGGAAGAACTCCGCCATGATGCGGTCCGTCCACTGGCGGTACAGGGGCAGCGGCTTGGTGGGGTTGCTGAGGTCAGCACAGTGGACGAGGTTCTGTAAGACCTGGGGGGTCAAGACAGGAGGGCACTGGCCGGACCCGCCACCTCCAAACCTGCCCAGGTCCGGGCCTGACACATAGTAGCTGCTCAATAAATACATGGAGAGAATTTAAACTTAGGTGATAATTGATTCTGTGGTTCAAGAATGACTTCTGGAGAAGGTGGACAAGGGACCTGTGGGACCCCCCCATCCCTGTGCTAGGGAGAGAGGCCCCTGAAATGCTCCGAGCCACAGACACCATCTTGCAGGTGGGGAGCAGACCTGGGAGGAGAAGTGGCCACAACAGAGACATGTGACATTATTTCTTCAGATTTGGCATACAGTGGGTGCTTCATAAATGCAATTAAATAAGAACTTCAGAAACGGAGGCCCCAGGGCTCACCTGGCCACATACCTGGATGCGATCGGAGTAGTTATCCAGGAGCAGGACACCGAGGCTTGTCACCTTTTTGGTTTCTACCATGGTCTTGAGGTCCGCCAGGAGATTCATGTGTTTGGACATATCTGTGGCCAGCACCTGGGGACAGGCCAGGGAGGGTGACAGCATGAGGACCCATCTGCCCTGCTTCCCACCTCTAGAGGCCACCCCCACTGAGACCCCTCCACTGTCAGTCCCCGGGTCCTCATCTGTCAAATGGGAGGGTATGATAAAGGATTCATTGCAAACCAGCTCAGAAGAGGGACATGATCAGTGGCCCCTTCTCTGGGCTCACTGGGCTCAGCCAAGCATCCCTCATGTGTGACAGGGTATGGGGAAGGGTGAGGACACTCAGCAGCTGAGATGACTGGCACCAGAGGGTAGCCCCAAGGCTCCACAGAGGTCATGTCCTGTGCAAAGGCCCTGGGGTTGAATGAGTTGGGTGTGAACAGAGAGGAGGTGGGGCTGGAGCTGGTGAGGACAAGAAAGATGGAGGTGAGGGGGCAGAGGACGTGGGGGTGGGAGGTGGAGCACCTATGGAGAGGGTCATGGGATCTTTGGGAGGGTTTGGATCTGGGGACCTGGCATGGTGCTTTCAAACATCCCCGTGGCCACTGTGTGCCCTTAGGACTATCTTCAGCCTTATGTTGGGAAGCTCAGCCCTCAGCACAGCTGTGGACCCAGCCCAGGAGTGAGCCACACACAGCCACATTCCGAGACCTGAATACAAGTCTCAAAACTTCTCCCCAAACACTTGATCTGTACCAAATGCCACCCCTACTGTGGCTCCGCCACCAAGGCCCCTCTTCACCGCGCCAAACCCCAGCCGCTCCTCACCCCAGGGCCTGGCTTCCTCTAGACCGTCCACACATGCTGTTCCCTCCGTGGGGAACACACCTCTCCATCCCACAGGGGCCTGGCTCCTGTGTTCCCCACACTAGAGGCCCTCCTTGGCCCCTCCGCCATCTGCACCTCTCAAATGCTATATGGCTCTCATAGGATCCATCTCCCCCAGGGACCATGAATCTCAGAAATTAGGCCAGAACTGGCTAGGAGATTGGCACAGTCCAAGCACACAATAATAGCTCAATAAACGCTTGTTAAATGAATAAATGAGAAACGATTTCCCCAAACTCCCCAGAGTCCTCCTGGCTGAATAAAGTCCAATGGATGGACGTTACTGTAAGGCTGAGAAGAAGCCGCGGCCCCAACCCCAGGAGTGCCGTCTCCACTTGCTCACACACAAATGGCCTGAGGAGCCAGACGGATGGTCCCACCTCACCCAGGGCTCAGATGTCATCACCCCATTTCACAGATGAGGAAGCTGAGGCTCAGCGTGGGGACAGGCCTGGGTCCACACGACTCCCCCCCATTGGGCACAGAGGATAAGGGAGCCCCCGCTCCTCCTGCCCCCAGCCACCGTGGCCCCACCATGTCGATGACCATCTTGCGCAGGCTCTGCCGCTGGCGCTTGCTGAGGTTCTGGAAGATGTCACAGTTCTCCTCCTGTAGCAGCTTGAAGCCCACGGCCAGGTGGTGGTTCTCCAGCACCGAGACGTCGTTGTACATCAGCGCCAGCTCCGAGTCTGCGCGAAGCCGGGAGCCTGAGACCCGAAGGCGCCCTCCAGTGCCCGCGCGCCTCCCCGAAGCCACCCAGGCCCGGGCTCCTCTGGCCCTGGGGGTGTCTTGTCCCTGGCTGAATGGCAGGCCGAGTGTTGGTCTTAATGGAACACAGGCTAAGTGAAAGGCTCCGCTCTCAGCCCCAGCACACCACGGCCTGCATACCACAGGTGCCCAATAATTGCTTGTCACAGCCTCCTCAAAGTTCCCCAAACTTAAGGTTTCAAGCAGGGCACTATGGTGCACGCCCGTGATCCCAGCGACAGGGAAGGCTGAGGCAGAAGGATCACAAGTTCAAGACCAGCCTCCACCATGCAGCCAGGCCCTCAGCAACTCATGAGGACCCTGGCCCCAAAGCACAGAAAAGGCTGGGGGTGGGGCTCAGTGGTAAAGCGCCCGGTTCAACCAATGGTATCAAAAAAAAAAAAAATCAGTGGGCCCAATGGGCTCTGCCTCAGCTCATTCTCTCACTTATTGAGCACCTACTGTGTACCAGGTCCCCGAGTGCTTGTGCAAGGGAAGGCTGGGCTCAGAGCAGAGCTGGGTCAGCCTGAAACCACCCAGTGGTCGCGGTGGGGCAGGCCCCGCCCCTCCCTGGAGGCCCCACCTCTCCCTGCAGGCTCCGCCCATCCTTTCAGGCCCTGCCCATCCCCACAGGCCCCGCCCCTCCCCACAGGCCCCGCCCCTCCCCGCAGGCCCCGCCCTCCCTGCAGGCTCCTCCCATCCTTTCAGGCCCTGCCCATCCCCGCAGGCCCTGCCCATCCCACAGGCCCCGCCCCTCCCTGCAGGCTCCTCCCCTCCCTGCAGGCCCCGCCCTCTCCCCCTAGTGTCCCCGCCACACCCCAGACTCACTGGTGTTGATGAGGAACTGGTTGGAGACCCCGGGGTGGTCCACGTCGTGGATGGCACTTGCAAAGATGGCAGCCAGGACTTCCAGGTCTGTGAACACCGCCTGAGAGGCCCAGGGCGGGAGAGGTGACCGGCGGGCACTCGGCACCCGGCACCTGCCCAGCCGGCCCAGCCGCGGATACCTGCAGGGCAGGCGTGGCCAGCAGCACATGCGCAGACTGGGCCACGTCGGCGGCGTGCAGGCTGTTGTGGTAGGCCACGTCGGCGTGGTAGTGACCCTCCAGCGTCAGCAGGTAGGTGGCCAGGGTGTCAGCCGGGATCTGGAAGGTCTTGAGCAGGTCCCGTTCCTGGTCCATCACAGGCCGGTCAGGGCCGCAGGCCCAGCCCCTGCTCCTCCTCGGACTCCGCCCAACCTCACATGTGCCCCCGTCCTCCCCTGATTTCCTGCCCTCCCTGTCCTTGTCCCCTGCTTCACATCCCCACGGAACTGCTGGTGTCTGTGTCCAGATGTCCTCTCCTGATGGAGTCCCTTCAGGCCCAGGCCCAGGCCCAGAGCTGGGCTTGTTGAGGATAAATCCTTGGCCCAGTGAACTCCTACTCATCCCTCAATACCCTGCTCACATTGTCCCATTCAGGGGTGTCAGATTTGAAGAGATGAGTGTCCCTGGGACTCGGGGCAGGATCAGGGGAAGGAAACCTGAGGGCCTGGGAAGGCAAAGGCAGGACAGTACCTGAAAGATGCTGAATATGATGGCCGTCAGCGGCCTGTTCCCGCTCAGCTCCGCCACCTTGAACACATCGAGGCCCCACCTGTTGGTGTCTTCCAGCTCCTAAGATGTGAGGGACCGCGCTGACCCCTCTGGCTCCCCAGGCGTGGCACCCACCCCCAGGGGGCACACTGGGCTCACCGCCCGGACACAGGCCCGGGAGGGAGCACCCACGAGGAGCCAGGGCCTCAAGCCTGGGCCTCCACCTCGCGGCCGGGGACCCACCTTGGCCAGCTGCCCCTCCTCGTCGGTCTGGACCCCAAAGCGTGGGACAGTGGCTGCAGAGAGGCTGGCGCTGTGGGGGAGCCCACGGAGGCCACTGATCTCCGACATGGGCCTCTGGGATTCCTCAGGGGCCGCCCTGGGCAGCTCGACCTCCGTCTGCTGGTCTGTAGGCGGTGGAGCCCCGAGGAGCCAGTTCACCAGCTGGGACTGTCCCGTCTGGCCTCGGGCTCTGCAGCGAGCCAAGCCCTGGGTCCCCCTCATTTTTATCTGGACCAAGATAAGCTAGAGGAGTAGGGTCCCGTCCGGCCCTAAGCCACCTTCTCCGCGAGGGCGCGTCTCAGTGAGCTCCGGGCTGGCCTGGTTCCTGAGCACCTGGGCTCACGTTTCCCAAACACACCAGTGTCCTTAACAGGTCCCAACCTGCAGCTCCAAGTGTGGGACTCCCTCCAGCTCCTCCTTGGCAAACTCCTACCCATGCTTTAAAACCCCAGCTGCAGTGCCCTTTCCTTCTGGAAGTCCCCCTGTGCAGCCTTAGTCCCATGGGGCCATCTGGCGGTCCCCTGCATGTGGGGGTTGGTGACAGCAGCCTGCCTTCCCCTTCCTTCTTAAGACCTCTCCAACCCTGCGTGGGCAGTGACCTCGCAGCTCACCCAGGAAGGTTCTGGAGATGTACTCGGACACCTGGTTCCCAGAGCGGCTGGATTCGGACAGATGGGTGAGCTCCCGGTTCAGCATCCGCTTGAACTGTGGGCGGGGGGCAGGACGTGAGGAGGGCCGTCGGCGGGGCTGCAGTCCTGCCCTGACTCGGGTGGCCCTCTCACCTTGTTGGAGGCCATCTCCCCGACCGAGTGCCGAGTCTGCAGCGTCTCTAGCTGATCCAGACACCAGTCCAGCTCCTCCAGGGTCTCCAGGGCCAGCTTCTGCCCAGAGTCTTCTGAGGGCCAAGTTGGTCAGGGACCTGTCCCACCCCTACTAGGGGACCCAGTGCCCTTCATGCCTCCATCTCTGCTTCTGGACCCTGAAACCCTTCCCACTGGGGCTGCTCAGGACCCCAGTACCAGATCTGTCTGTAAGTGGCTGTGTGACCACATGTAGGTCTCTTGCCCTCTCTGGGCCTTAGCCTCCCCATCTGTAATATGGGAATGGTGGACTCCATTTGCCAAGAAGGTTCTTTGCAGGAGGGGGAGGGGTGTCAGGGTTACAATAGCCACAGTGCAAGAGCTAGTGGGCTGGGGAGGTCACTGCAGAGAGGAAGTGACAGCTGTCTCTCAGTGGGGGAGGGGTGGGAACAGGCATTACCTGCAGGTGGAGGGGGCTGGCTGCTGGGTGGAGGGTTCCCGACAGATGCCTGCCTGAGGTTACAGTGGGCTCAGGGGTAGCCCCCACCTGGCCCCGCCCCCACGTCCTCCAGGCCCCGCCCCTCAGCCCCACCTGAAGGTGCCTGAGCCGCAGCCCCTACTTGTCTCCCCTTTTTAAAATCTCTTGCTTTCTTGTGGGGTTGGGGGCTGAACCCAGGCCCTAGCGCATGCCAGGCAAGAGCTGTCCCCCTGAGCTGCAGCTCCAGCCACCTGTCGCCTGCTTTTCTGCCTCGGCCCCCCCACCGGCCCCACCCCTGCGTACTTGACTGCACCATGGACTTGGCCTTGGGCAAGGGCGGCCACGTTGCTGCGAACTGTCTTCAGGCTGGCGAGGACCTGTTGGGGGACAGGTGGTCAGAGGTGGCCAGGAGCTGAAGCCTGATCGTGGTGGGGGTGGGGGAGGAACCCACCTGGGCAAAGGGCGTCACTATCATGTCTTCTCCATGTCTGCGGGGGACGGGGGGGGGGGAGGGCGGGCCATCAGGAGCAGGTCTTCAGCCTGGGCGCACCTCCCCTGGAGACTCCTCCCGACCTCATCTGGCCCCGGGCCTCCTCCCCCACCCTCCCTGGGAACCCCGCAGCCCTCCCGCCAGCGCCTCGCTTTCTCCGCTTTTCCCCAGTGGGGAACCCGAGACCCAGGGGCAGTGGGGATCTTAGTGGAGTCGGGACAGAAACGGTCGTATTTCTCTTTTCATTACGGGTACCAGGAGGCTCAAATCAAAGTATTTGTTCACTTGCTGATAATTGGCCTTAATGTGTCCAGAATGCCACCCCCGCCCCCAGCCCCAGGAGCACACAGATCACCTGAGACCCTCTGCCGCACACTCCCCTGGATAAATTAACGGCCTGGAGAACTCCCACTTAAACTCCCAAATCTAGCTCAAGTGGCTCCCAGAAGGAGCTGGCTGGGTGGACAAGAGGAAGGGTGGGAGCCGTCACCCCAGCAGCCCTGACTCACAGGTCGCTGGCCACGGAGGAGTTCCGGGACAAGGCCTTAGGTGACAGTTCATAGTCGCTGTCCGAGCGGTACAGGAAAGACTCTCGCCGCTGGCTGTGGGGGGCCGGGGCCTGAGCCCCACGTCCAAGGCCAGGCCCGGACTGAGGGTCCAGGACAGTCCTTCCACGCGACAGCCCATTTTCCAGGTCAAAGCTGAAGGCAGAGGAGGTAATGGTCAGAGCACAGGACCCTGGCAGCTGGGTGTCTGGCGGCGGTGGGCGCCTCCCTGGGTGGCACTGTGGCCACCTGCCCCCAGCTCCGCAGGGACCGGGTGATCCTCACACCTGCTCTGCGTGTCCACCCCGACTCTTCCCACTTGGGCCTGGACTCCAGGTCCTGGGTTCCAACGTTCCTCAAAGTAGCCGTGTGACCCTGGGCAGGTGTTTTCCCTAGACCTCACCACCCTGTCCCTAATACAGGCTTGTTAAACTCGGTCCCCAAGGGCTCTAGGGGGTCACATCTGAGCGTCCTAGAACGGTAACTGGGCGTCTGTATAGCAAAGATGGAACTAAGGGTAGGTCCCAGGGTGAGTCCACCTGGCGTGAAAATGGCCCTGGGCTCTTCCACCTGGAAGGGTCAGCTCCGCCTACATAGCACACTCTCCAGGGCTCCACATACCACATTCCCCACCCAGAGACGCCTTGAGCACTCCCTTAGGCCACCCAGCAACTGTCTGAAACCTCCAGGCTCCACCCTCATCCCTCACGGCCCCGCCCCTCGGCCGTCGGCCACGCCCCATCTTCAGTTTGCACTGAGCCTGTTCCTTTCAGCCCCCGGACCTTCGCAAAAGCTGCTACCTTTATCCTGAGCACCGTCACCCCCAACACCCCCTGCTCCATTCAAACTCCAGGTCTTTGTTTTACCCCCACCACAGCTCCCTGGGCAGAGGGATCTATGCCCTTCCTCTTGGGGTCAGAGGTCAGAGAAAGTGCTGAGATGTAGGCGACCTTGGAGGTCAAGGGCTTTTGAGAAGATGAGGATGGGACAGCTGGGAGGAGGAGAAATCAGCACCGCCCAGATTCCGAGCTCCTGCCCAAGGGCCTGAATCCACCTAGTCCCCTGTGACTCTACCCTGGTCGCAGGGCCAGACCGATACCCACCAGGAGGCTCTGGGCAGGGGGCAGCAACATTTGGCTCAGACAGTGGGGGGTGGGGGATTCTGCACGATTCGGTTCTGCTGGGCCAGATTCGGTCGTGTCTGGGGGGCTCAGATCACACAGGGTTGGACCTCTTCACCGGGAGTTGGGTGGAATGACTTCGAGCAGCTTCGGATACTTCCGGCAATCCTGGCAGGTTCGAGTGAGTTCGTGTTTCTTCGGCGAAGTCCGGACACGCTCGGCTGCTTCGAGTAAGTCCGGGTAGCGCTCGGGCCAGGTCGGGAACATTCGGCTCAGTCCAGTCGCACTCGGGGAAGTTCGGCTGCCCTCGGCTTTTTCCGCCAGATTCCTTCGGGTTCCTGCGCTCCGACAGGTCCCCCAGGGCTGGAGAGACCGGAGTCTCTCCGTGACGTCACGTAGGGGGTGGCTTGTAACCCCTCCGAGCCCTTGGCACCCGCGCGTGGTGGCGGGCTGGGAGACGCTGCTGGCAGGCGGCAGATACCCCAACTTGCCCTCCGAGCAGGGAGACCTGCAGATGGCGACCCCCCTGTCCCTCTTTCACCGATCCCCAGAGGTTATGGGAAAGCGTGCCTGGGGACAAACAGAGAAACTGAGGCAGGGAACAGCTGTCGGGTGCTGTGTTCGAGTCCGAATCCCGGACGCCGAGGGTTAAGGGCAGCGCCTGCTCTTCCTGGGGCGGGGGGTGCTGTTTTTCTTTCTGCTCTAAACTTAGCCGGGGGCGGCGGGGTCAGGCGGCGGTTCCATGACGCGGGAGGTGCGGGTGAGGTCGCTCTGGCTCTGGGAACTGCGCGGCTGCCCATTGGTCAGACCGGTAAACCGAGGCATGCGGACTCAGGGCTCCCGGACCTCAGAAGGAGGTTTGGGGACAGCCTAGACGCCCGGGTCCTGCTTCAGCCTCACCTTCGTGTACCCCGGGTGCCCGCTCTGAGCCCTCGGAAGGTACCGCTCTTCATTGGTGCCTGGTACCCTGATGCCGCTCTCTGGGACCCGGGACCCCATGTCCAGTCTGAAATGGCACCATCAGGGATCACAGTCACACCTCCCTCTGCCCAGCTTGTCACTCTCTGGCGATGTGACCTTGAAGGAGACTCCTGTCTCCGAGCCTCTGGGTGCCAGATTGCCAAGTGGATATGAATTGGGTGCGAAAAGAACGCAGGGTGCCAGCCACACTCGGCGCCCACAAGACCCAGCCTCGACCCACTGGCCCACGAGGTGACATTTGCTTGGCGAAGAGCGGGATTTGAACCCAGAGCCGTGGACCTCCTCAGGGCTGCAGCTGAACCGGGCTGCAGGGAACCGGGCTCGGAGCGGACGCGGTCCGCTCTCAGCCTGGGAAAGGGACACTCGCCCTCCTCCTTATGTCCCGAACATCCTGCCCGCATCAAATCGAGTCTTGCTCGGTGGTGGACACCCCGGGTTCATTGTGAGGCCCCCGGATCATCTTGTTGCTGGCGCTGGGATGGCCGCGGGGTGGGGAGGCCAAGGACGCAGCCTCCCTCTCCTCCCTCCCCAGGGCGCTCAACCCTCCGGTCCCAGGCCAGCGAGGGTCAGGAGAGACGTGAGCCTCCGCCCGTCCTGCTCTGGGCCACACAGCTGGGAAGGGACAGTCGGCCGGTCCCCTGGGCGCGTGTCTAGGCGGTGGGTGGAGGAGGGAGACAGAGATGGGGAGGGGGGGGAGAGTCACAAACTGACGGAGAGCGAGGGCCGGGGGACGGAGAGGCTGCGAAGGGAAAGAGGCCCCGGCTGCCCTTGGATCTGCCCTTCAGGCCTCCGCCCCGCCGCCCGGTGACCCTCCAGCCCCCGTCCCGCCTCACCACAGGGGATGGGCCACCGTGAAGCGCCGCTGCAGGCGGATGCTCTGGTTCACCAGGAGCTTCCTGAAGAGCCCGGGGGAGCCTCGCGGGGAGCCCCGAGGGGAGCCGGGCCCAGGGGCCGGGGCTGGCGCAGGGGGACCCTGCATGGCCAGGACCGCGTGGAGGCTGGAGCCAGCGGTCGCCGCTCGGGACCTTTTCTGGACAGCCTCGGGGGCGGGGCCCAGCGGGGAGGGAGAGAGGGCGCAGCCACCCCGCCCAGTGGCTGGACCGCTCGCTGGTGACCCATGGGACAAACGGAGAAACTGAGGCACGGAGTCCGATAAGACTCTGCTCCCCTGCTTAGGAGGTGGCCCCTTGGGGACAGAGCCTAGTCTTACGCCACTTCCTTCTGCACGTCCCCCTGGCGCCCGCTAACCGCGGGGTGTAAGATGAGGAAGTGGGAAAGGGATGTCACAGATGCCGGGGGCCCTGCTCGCCATCAGGAGGAAGGTCACTGAGGCTCGGAGTTCAGCAGGGGCTGGGAAGACCCACTGGCCTGTCCAGCCTCCGCATCCATTTCCCTGATGGAAAGGGCTCCGAAAGGCTGCTGGAAATACAGCCCTCCATCCTGCGGATGGGGAAACGGAGACTGGAGAGAGGTGGCAGGGCACAGCCTTCCCTGCAGGGCCAGCTCCGCTCCCCCAGCACCCCCCAAGTCCCCGCCTGACCCCCGCCTGCTCTGACATTCTCCAGGCCCGTCTCTGGATGCCTCCTTCTCCCCAAGACAAACATCCGCAGTCCGCCTCCCGCCAAGCCTTCCGCCCTGTGACGCTTCAGCTCCTGTCCCCATCCCAACTGCAGAAGGACCCCACTAGCCTGAGAAGGCGGGGCCTGGTGTCTGGGGCGATGCAAGCATCTGTGCTGGGTGTTCTGCCCTGGGGACACTGGGCCAGACTGGTCCCGCTCCATGCTACACAAGAGGAGACTGAGTCTCCAAGGGTGTCACAGGCATGGGACAGACAAGGAGCAGCCACGTGGCAGGCAGAGGCCAAGGTGACCTTCCAGCTGAGGCCACACAGAAGGCCGTGGGCCTCACGGAGCCCCTTGCTGAGGGAGGAACCCCAACCCCTCAGCCTGGGCCCGGCCCTGGGTGTCCCCAGTGAAATGGCAGCCCGAGTCCTGGCATCAGAGACCCGATTCCATTAATCACCGGGAGAGGCCGAGGCGACCACGCCACACTGGAAATGTTATTCTCCCCATTGCACAGATGAGAAGATGGAGGCCAGCAGCCCTGGGGGATGGAGAGTCGCAGGGGTTTGGCCAGAAACCCCCTTCAGGCCACCAAGCCCTGAAACCAGACACCTGGCAGAAACCAACCTCACTGACCCCAAGACAAAAATACCATCTGTAGCCGCTGGGTCGGACCTAATTATAGCCAGTCCCCAGGGGACAGAGGCCGCCAGGCTCCCACTGGTAGAGATGCTGGGTCAGGGGCCAGGGGCCTTGACACAACCCCAGCCTGTGGAAGGGGCTCACAGGGCGTCCACATCCCCAAGGAGAAACTGAGGCTCAGAGTGACTCAGTCCCTTCCCTGAAATCACACACAAATGGTAGATTAAGACTCAATGTAAGGGGCTGGGGATGTGGCTCAAGCGGTAGCGCGCTCGCCTGGCATGCGTGTGGCCCGGGTTCGATCCTCAGCACCACATACCAACAAAGATGTTGTGTCCGCCGAGAACTAAAAAATAAATATTAAAATTCTCTCTCTCCTCTCTCACTCTCTCTTTTTAAAAAAAAAAAAAAGACTCAATGTAATCTGACAGCCCGGCGAGGTGGCACCTGCCTGTCATCCCAGTGGTGGGAGGCTGAGACAGGAGGATCGCAAGTTCAAGCCCAGCTTCAGCAACTTAGCGAGGTCTAAGCAACTCAGCCAGTGACTGAGTGGTTACGTGCCCCTGAGTTCAATCCCCGGTATCAATCAATCAGTCAATCAATCAAGAGTGAATATAATCATTGCGTTTCTGATGTACCCAGCACAGAGCCAAGAGCTGTGAGGCCCAGAGAGGTGTGGTCTCAGGCCTGAAGTCACACAGGCAGAAGCAGCAGGGAGAGGTTATTTGGGCCAAGCCACTGGGCTCCCTAGCCTCTCCCCTCTCCCAATTAATTTGTTAATTGGCTTTATCCTCTCCACAGTCCCAGAGGCTACCCTGTCATTAATATTTTATCAATAGTTGTAATGTTAATGTTTTATTAATAGATTTGATAAATATTTCATTAACAGATTGACTCATGTGTGATTAATAGCCTTTAACATGGAGAAACTGGCTGGTGCTGTGGCCACACCTGTGATCCCAGCTATTCAGGAGGCTGAGGCAGGAGGATTGCAAGTTTGAGGCCAGCCTCAGCAACTTATACCCTGTCTCAAAAATGTTAAAAAGGGGGCCATGGGACTGGAGCTAGTGGTAAAGCACTGGCCTAGCACGAGGGAGGCTCTGGGTTCTATCCCCAGCAAGGGGTGGGGGTGGAGGTGGGGAGGGAGACAGCCACAGGGTGGTCTCTTCGGCAGCACATAAACTAAAATTGGGATGGCAGCCCCAGAGGGGGCCTGGCCCACCTGAGCTTGGGAGGCACCCAACCTTGCCGGGTAGGGGGCCAAAGCTTCTGGGTGGATGGAAGGCCCCCGACCTGACTCTGATCCTGTGCCGTCCAGCTGAGGAGGTGCCCAATGGTGTCTCGTGCCCTTAACACATCACTGCCTCGATTTCTCCCATTTGAGCACTTTTCTCCTCGGCTACCAGGTGGCCCCAGAGAGAAGGGGCACTGAGTCGGGGGAGGAGAGGTGACTGCCCAGCTCCCTGTGGAGGGTTCGGGCAGTTGCAGGAGGTGGAGGCCGGTCCGTGGGCAGATCAGCCCCTTCCCTGCTCTGGATTCTTCCATGGCTCCCTGTCCCCAGAGGTCCCCTGTAACCCTTCTCTTAGCTCCTTTCTGCCCTGCTTCCCCGGCCCCCGCTGCCCCTCGCCCCACAGCCTCATTCCTACCCTGTGGCCCTTCAGCTCTCCACAGCGGGGACACCATCCGCTCCAGGAAGCCCCTCCGGGCCAGCCAGAGATGTCTCTCCACACACCTTCCTGTTCCTGTCTCGGGGACAAGCTCACATTTCTGGCTGTGATTATTTGATCTGTGTTTGTCCCCTTGCCCAGCCTGTGACTCCCTTAAGGGCAGGAATGGGTCTGCCTTGTTCTCAGCTCAGCCCTCAGCACCTAGCATTCAGTAGGTGCTCAACAAATGCTTGTCACAAAAACATAAAGCCTCCCCTCCACAATTATCTGTTTTCAGCTCCTTGTACACCCGATCCTCTTGAGTCTGAGGCTTTGCACATTCTGCTCCTTCTGCTTGGCACACCCTTCCCTGCACTCACCTAGTTGACCTCTTTCATGCTTCGGGTTAAGCTTAGATGCTGCTGCTTCCATGTAATCCTCCCTGACTCCCCCTCCTGCAGGCTGGGGTCACACACAAGTCAATTTCTGGTGTCATGATCTCGCCGGATCACAGCACAAATCACCCAGTGAGGGCTGGCACACAGTAGGTGCTTAATAAATGCTTTTCACGCAAGATGTTCGGACCCTTCCAGACCCTTGTGATCCACCAGGAGCTGAAGGAAGGCACAGCTGGGAGCAAGTGCAGCCTAGGCCCTGGGCAGAGTGTTCATCTCACAAGGCGGAGGCCAGTGCAGACCACCACTTGCTCAGGGGCACCTAGCAGTCCGCCTTGGGCCTGGCCTTGAACTTGATTTCCCTGGGCCTCCCTCAGGTCAACGCTTTTATGTACTGACAGGCCACACAGGGGCATGCAGGCACACCACATCCACTGGACCGCAGAGCCAGGATTGCAGCACAAGGCATGTGTGTACACACACTCACACTCACACTCACTCACACTCACACACASTCACACACACACTCACACACACACTCACACACCTACTCACCCCCCCACACACCCCACACACACTCACACACATTCACACACACTCACACAGCCCCCCCACACTCACACACACCCACACATTCACACTCACACACATTCACACTCACACGCACACACACATTCACACACCCACACATGCTCACACACACTCACGCACGCACACACATTCACACACCCACACACTCACACACACACACTCACGCACACACACACACACTCACACACCCATTCTCCCCCCCACACACACACCCCACACACACTCACACACATTCACACACACTCATACAGCCCCCCCACACACACACTCACACACCCCAACACATTCACACTCACACACATTCACACTCGCATGCACACACACATTCACACACCCACACATGCTCACACACACGCACACACACACATTCACACACCCACACCCCCCCACACACACACACACACACACTCTTTCTCCCAGGGCCATACAATCCGCAGCTCAGATCTTCCAGAGCCACGTGGGGTCTCCCCCTAGACAGGCTCCAATCGCCTGTTTGTTCTTTCTTGAAAATGGAAAATCATGAGTCACAGGAAGGGTGCGGAGGGAGGAGCCGGGGGCTGGAGAGGGGGCAGGGCCTCGAGGTCACCTGGAAACAGCTCTGGGCCTTGGGACCCATCTGGCCCAGATGCTTCCCAGGGTCCTTGGAGGGTCAGGCTGGAGGCGGCGCCCAGCTCATTGATTAAGAAACCAGTGGCCCCAGGTAGCCCATGGATGGCAGAAAACCCAGCTCGGAGAAGAGAGTGAGCCGCTCAAGTTCACAGCGTGGACTTGAACCTCGAAGCCTGGTCTGGCCTGGCTTGGCTCCTCCCGGAATCCAAAGAAGCCTGAGGATCTGGGCCCTCTTCCTTGGCCTTACAGGCCCCACCCAGCGGGTGGACACCCCCACACCTATCCCCGAGGGGTTCTCACCCCTCCCTGTCTTCCTTCCCTTCTTCTCCACCCGCCTGCGGTCCCCAGCACCAGATCCTGGAGCAGGAGCCAGCCCTCCCTTCTTAGGTGGAGGACATGTCCAGTGTCCAGTGCTCTGCTCCCCAGGGGCTTCCCTCCTGCTGCAGGAGGGCAGGGCGGGTCGACAGGGGCCACAGAGCTGCGCCCTGCCCAGCACGGCCCACCCTGGCCTCCCACACTCATTGGAGCACCTAGGGCCATCTTAGATGCTC